GAAAATTTATTTTAAATACACATGTTTTTCTTAATAAGCGCCAATATTACCATAATCGGTCCATAAATGACCAAGTTATGAGCATATGAATTCCGGAACTTCAGAGGTCCATGTCTCCACTAAAGTCGTATATTTTCGTGATCCGGGAAAAGATCTAAACTTAACTAAAGTCCATTTACTTTGTACTGGATTTAGAAAATACATAGAGGAGGTTAGCCCTGGCGTTTTATTTACCATATCGCTGGCGTAACTTGTAGAGGCAATAAGTCCCTTTTTGACAATTTTTGGGGAGAGACAAAAACTTTTTTTGAATAAAAGCATCTCTAAATGCAATTTGTTTTTGTATTGTATTTTATTTGTGTAAAGGCAAAATGGAAAAAATAAGTATTACAGTACGTTTACATTTAACCGGATTTCGTTAACCCAGTGGGTTTCAATTGTCATTTCCTTTGCATACATGTCAAATAAATCCTCATAAAGTAGGTTAACCCGGTAAAAAGTTCTAATGAGCGCCTTTTCTGTTCCAAAGTTTTTCTGTTTTCATGGAATTAGGTCTTTTCCTTACTACTTGTCTCTTATTATATTTTTTAATTACTGCAATAAATGTGGATTTTTGTTGATTTTTACATGCTATTTTATTTAAAAGAGTAAAGATCGTTTTGGAATTCAACAATATCAATAAAAACAAGTTAAAACATCGTTAAGTTCGCCCGAGTCGAACTCTCCACCATGAGTTGCACAGTCAAATACTTAAAATCGGTCGGGACTATTATATGGTTGTTATGCCATGATAAATTACTGCCAAAAGAAAATGAAATATCAAAATACAGGCTATTGGAAATTTGGGCTGGGACCCCATGCATAACGTTATTTGGGCTGGGACCCCATGCATAACGTTATATGGGGTTACCCTAAAAAGGAGACCAATATTGATAATGTTTTGTTGGAAGGTGTGCTACACCGTAAGTACCTAAAATACCAAATTAGCGTTTCCTTGTGGTTGCATAGCCGTTTTTTTACATGATGTTAATCCAGCAACGTGTGTTGAATTGATCTTAGCGCGTTTACTAATCAATACAAAACAACATTAAAAATGAGATAACTGTATTTTTATTTTTTTAAATCGATGTGTTTTGCCTTATTTTACATAAATGTATCAAAATTTCAATTTCTAGGAAAATGGACTTGTTGCCTTTACAAGTTAAACCAGCGATATATGCAATGTATAGCATTACTAAATCCAGTAAAATGTTAATGTTTTATTATGAACTTTATCATTCAAAACAACACAAGTTGGTGACTGAGCAATGTGAACTAGGTGAACTAGAGATTCGAATGCGATGATAATCGTCCCCATCGTTCATTTTACAGAGTCGTTCATTTAAACTGGTTCATTTCGGGACGACACAACTCGTAGAGACTGTCAAGACAATGAAATAAAAAAGTAATAATATTTTATTATTAATTACGTGAACAAAAAGGATTCGGGCTGCAAAGTGGTGCATATGAAATATAGTGTAAATGAACGAAACGCTGAAAACGGTTAAAGGTTGCATCGATAGTCGCCTATCAATTGCACCTCGGTTCGGGCAATGATTTTGGTGTGGTGTGGTGTTAACAAACAGCAAGAGAAGCCCAAAACAATTGTAAAGTGTGGAAGCATGGAAGTAGGAAAAAACACGTTCTTATTTCAACAATTTGGAGTATTTTCGAATCAAAACAAATGAATGTTGCCAGCGATGCTACGCGTATGGAAATCGAGACGCCAGCATATCATTTATTTGGATAGTTCTCCATGTATGTCGCCTCTGCGAGCTCGTTCGAGCAGCAGTGGCACGTCTGTTATTAGTAGCGCTGACGTCGCTTTGTTATCAATTATAATTTTCCAACTCGATTGGACAAGCGATGAGGAATTGAAAGAATTGAAATAGAAACAAAGACAGAATGGTGACTGCATTAGCCAACGACCCAGTCAATATACAAAAGTACATGGGAAAACAAATTGATTAAAGTGCCAATGAAATTCGAGCAAAACAATAATAGTGAGCGTACGAGAGTATAAACAGGCTGCATAAAAAGAATCATACAAAACAAAGAGCAAAGGTAGAAGCAGTCGAGCCCACTTCTTGGGTACAATGTGAGCGCGAGTAATAAATAGTGCAGGCTGAATGCATGTAAAGTCGTCGTCGACATACATACATACATGCTGTTCGGGACATAATGGAAATATTCGTATAGCAGTCGTATATTTTTTGTTTTTATTTTGACTTGGTGTGTAGTAGCTGTGGTCGGTTGTTGTTTTATTTTTGTTTTGTTGTTATTATTGCTATTATGATGTGTTGTGTCAATGCCCCCATTGGTTTGGTTTTGTTGTTGCAAAGGATAGCAATTTTGTTGTTGTTGTTAATTGCCCTATGTTTTTGTTTTCGATTAGAAGGAATTGCAGGTGAATAGGCACATATATTAATTTTTTATCATCATAATTTCAATGGCGGTGTGTATCTCAAAAGTATGTTTACAATGAAAAATATAAATTTAGAGCTTGGTATTATTAAAAAAAGGTTTATATATCTGGTCCATTATATGATCTGTAGAGTTTCTGATTTGTTTGTACCAGAGACGAAATAAAAAGATAGATAAAAAATCGTCAAAACTTGCTTGAGGACGAAAATTTACACTTGCAACTAAATTGAATCAAGAATGATGTTTAATGTAGATCGATATTTAGATACAGTCTATATATAATTTCACCCGATTCCGCGTAAATAATGGACCCGGTTTGCTACGTCCGTTCGATCAACCCAGATTATGATCGATTAGGCAAATGGTATTAGATCAGAATTAAATGTAGCCTATAAAAATGTATTTTTTTCTAAAACTAGTTATCATTATGGTCAAATTTGAAACAAAAAAGGAACGCTTCGAAAGTACAATCTTATCTTTTTATATTTTATAAGAGCAACATACTAGGATTGATTTGTGTATATGTACAAATGTAACACTAAATAGGTATATTTCTGGTAGGGTAAACTCACCTAATTCCGACATGTAAATGTAAATTAACTTGAAATGTTACACTTAACATGCTACATGTGTTGCCTTTCCATGTATCAATTTGAAAATAATATTATTCTAACAATTTAAGAGATATTTGAGAAAATACTTGAATTTGATGTTAATGTGGTATAGTATAATTTTCACTTCCAATTGATAACTTATGTAATTTATTGTTTTTTGTGAATGCGAATTAGCTCAAGATTTATGTCTGTTAAGATTTTTAACGGATACGGAACTTGAACTGTAATTTTTATTATATAATAATGTCTACACATGGCAATATTTAGTTTTTGTAATGAGATTTTGTCTTGTGCTGGCTTTTTTTTCATGCAGACTCAATGTATACCACATTACCTGCACTTGTGTTTACTGAATAAACGTATAGTTTTTTTCATAGATTAGTAAATATGTGGTCAATCGCGCATATTATTTGATTTTTAGTACTTACTAATTATTTTAATGCTTTAATAATAAAGATTAAAATACATCTTTAAACAAAAAATTATTTTTAAACCGAAAAATTTAATTTTTGCTACTGGTTCTCAACCTGAGTTAAATAAATTAAACAGATCATTGCTATCTTATTTTTTTGAGAACAGTAAACTATAGAACATGTTTTAATTATTCTAAAATTTAAATTTATAATTTAAGTTTGTAAAATAAAAGCTATTTTTAGGTTTTTATTGTAATGTCCTGCACTGTATATCGTACGCGTGTTTCGGCAATCTTTATAAATATGATTTTTAATTCTTTAAAGAAATATAAAATTAATTATATATACATATTAAAAAATACTGTATAAATAGAAGTTGTTTATTCGTATTGAAAAAATACAAGCAAAAAAAAAAAAAAAACGCTGAGAAAAGTGACTCCACTCAGCTACACTTGAGATATATATTTTTGTGAAGTTGATCGACATTGTCAACGATACTTATATTTTTATATGTACTGCTATAACACAAACAAATAATAACAGTCTCTAAAGTGTTTTTATTTTTGTCTTCCTTCTTTCTTTCTACTAACGATTCAAGATAGTGAAACCTCTTATATTGATAAGCCCAATAAAACAATGTAAAGAGAAATAATTAACCACTCGTAAAACGCTGAAAAGAGTACAAAAAAGAATTGACAACAAAATAAACAAAAACAGAGAGATTTTTTTCTTAAATATTACAAACCCAAAAATAAATTGAATAAAGTGCAAAACATTGTGGAAACAACCCGAGAAGGAGACAAACGACGTAGTGTCAAATAATCGTTGATCGCCATCGTACAACGGAGAGAACAAATTCTAGTTAATGTTGACTAGTAAAAGACGTTAACGTTCATTCGTTCATTGCTGATTGTGAAATGGAAAAGATATCATCGCAAATGTTAAGGAATTTAAATATCAGTAGCAACAGCAACAATAAAAACACACACTATAGACGGTCGCACATTACATACACACACGCTAGTAGTGCTAATGCTAATAAAGATTTATCTTTGAAAAGGCAAAAACAACAAGAGCACATCAGCCGAGTGGCTTTAAATCGTAATCGCGTTTGTGGTTGTAGGAAGCGTGTTAACTCCAATATTGCCTTATCGCCCACAAGTATAACGATGTCAGTGACGATAACCTCTTGATTTGTGTACTGTCCTATAGGCTTCGATTTTGAATTGTTCGGTTCACAATTATCGGATGTAAGATCCTTCCAATTAATAAATTGATCGGTCGAATGCCAGTAAACTGTCAACGAGCGAACTGTATTATCCTATTTCTACTAGTCTGACCAACAGCGGTTTAATGTGTATCTCCAACTGAAATAAGTGTATACGAGTGTGTAATATGATGTTGAATATGTCGAATAAACTTAACAATTTTCAACATATCACTGGGAGTGCTGGGAGTACAACAGCCTCCTCGTCAGCTATGGGTATGCCGGCCATGTCGTCAACGGCATCTGTAACAGCTTCACACAATGCACTGTCGGCTCCGAACATGTTTTCGCAAGATTCTAACTCGTCGATAAATTCCAACTCTGCATCGGGCAAAGCTGAACGAGAGTCGATACATTCGGGCCAGTTCATGGTGTCGACATTTGAAGCTGAAGAAGCCCAAGATGATCTCGACGATAGTGAAGTTAAAATGCTCGATCCCGAGGATCCAAGTCTATCGAAACCCGATGAACCCAATACATGTATGGAAGTGCAGCTGTATGTACCGCGCAAGGTGGCCCAACAGAATCGATATGGTGGCAATGAATCGGCTGGACTAATAACATCGCATCTAGAGATTGAGACTTCACTAACCAAACTCTTCAAATGTATGAATTTAGCTTACAGGTAAGTGTATCAAGTTATGTGGGCGACTCTTAATGTATGTCTTTAAAACACGTGCACGTAAAAATATAACTTCTAACTTGTTAGTAAAATGTAATTCCATTTAAAAAAAAATATTCTTTATCAAAATTATATAAAAAAACCTTCTTTCTACAGTCTACATTTCTTTTTTTGATCATAGAACAGTCACATAAAAAATGTTAATTTTGAGTACATATTGGACTATGGCTAGCGGTCATGCATTAATAACGTGATATGAATAGTATTTTATGTTTTTTTCCTTTCAGTTAGTTTCGCATGCTTTTAAAACATGATAAGACAATATATTTTGTAACTTTTGCCATTTGCCGAATTTCATTCATTTCTGATATATCAGCATAATTGTCTAGGGGATCGTATGACAGAGAAGTATCAATTTGTTGTTTTGAAAATGTTTGTCACTTTAAGTTTGCTCTTCTTGCAAATATGTTTAGACATTAAAAATATATATGTATGTACATATACCTATTAGGGATGTATTTCAATTTTATGCGTACAAATTAAAGATAATGTTGTGCATAATTATTAGAATTTTACTTTCGCAGTCATGCACAGGTTGAAAGTCATATTTATTACCTTACACGTGTATATATGTGAGTTATAAAATTATTATTTTTCGAATAATACAAAAAAAATGAAGAATTAAGAGTTATCGGATTAATTGTAATTCTCGAGATTCTATTATACTAACAGAATTAACCGAATATATATTAAAATCTCATATTTTTGTCGTTTTAGCCAAAAGCTTACATCTCCGAAATGGAATCATTTTAAGGGTGTTCGTTTACGTTGGAAAGATAAAATACGTTTAAACAATGTCATCTGGAGATGTTGGCATATGCAGTGTAAGTATATCTAAATATGTTTTCTACCAATCCGATATAAAATTTAGATGGAATCGATTTGTTAAGCTTCTAAATGTTGTTATATTTTGAGTAGTAGTAAGTGGTGTAGGAGTGTCAATTCGCTTCAAATTTTCTCAGTGCAGTAAGAAAGTGGCTCTAAAATATCAATTCATTATTTCAATTGCCTTCACACGAACTGTTGCAAGCATTGATTCTTTGAGGTAATTTTGGCACATTGTGGAACACATTTGTCAAGGGTCATAACTTGACAAATGTTGATGTTTAATTGCTCTAGAGTTGAATGTTTATCTGCATGGGCAGGGTCTTTCACCTAGCCTCATAAAAAATCTAATTGTGTCAAAACGTATTATATTGGTGGCCTGTTTATAATGCCACGGTTAGTAAATGTCTCTTGCAATATAGACATATTATCCCTAGTTGTGTGGCACCGTTTTGTTGAAACCACATATTCCCTAAATCGCATTCTTCAATAGCATGCAAAAAAGTCATTTATCAAATGACCATAACGCTTGACGGCGACATTCGTCGTTCTATCGTCGTTTTCGAAGAAGTTCATAAACAGAGTGAGAGGTAAAGTTAATGACAATAGCCTCACAAACATGGACTACTCTGATGTTAGTAAGTGGGAATTATCATAAAAATGCTCCTTCTCGGATCATAGGATGATACTCTTTTAGATTCCTACCTTTAGAGAAGAACAGAAGCCTTATAGGAACCCACGGAAGACGAACCGAAGTACCATCTCCGTTTATAGAGAACAATTCAAAAGATACAAAATAACTATTATAGAGTGTTCTGTGTGGAAATCTGTCAACAAAATAACATCACACTCCTATACTAAACAGCAAGTCTCCACTCAAACACCTTCTACTATCCCCTTTCCGTTTCCATTCCTTCTTTTTTTCAGGTACTTAGGGTGAGAACAATGGGTACAATGTCTCTGACTAATATGGCTGCTGGACTACTGGTGGCTAAACATCCTTTACCCTAACCTATGGTCTAATCACACCTTCGGACCAAAGACTTTTTCTGGATATAAATGCCGCACATCAATTACTTCAGAATTCTCAGCACCCCAAATACGAGACTTTTGTTTGTAGTAGGGTTTGATGACTTTTATGCGTTGTAATAGTACGTTTATATTGTACGGGATTTCGTTAACCCAGTGGGTTTCAATTGTCATTTCCATTGCATATATGCCAAACAAATCCTCATGAAGTAGGTTAATCCGGTAAAAAGTTCTAATGCCGTTTAAGATAGTTAAACGGCATTTACATTACAACTTTTTGCGGTGTTAATCTCGTCTATGAGGATTTATTTTACATATATTTAATGGAATTGAAAATTTAGATTTACTGGATTTAATAAATCCGGTACAATGTAAACGTAATATTAAGCGATCCATTTTCGTCAATGCCAGACTTTTAACTGAAAATAAAAAAATTAATTTTACAGCTTAGTTTGACATATGTCGAATTCCAGTCCCATACTTTTGAACCCGCGAAAGGGATAACTCTTTGTAAAATCATAAACTTCAATGATTTTGTCCGATTTTCGTAAGAATACGTATGTGGAAGTAACCAACCAAGTGGGTTTGATGACTTTTATGCGTTGTAATAGTACGTTTATATTGTACGGGATTTCGTTAACCCAGTGGGTTTCAATTGTCATTTCCATTGCATATATGCCAAACAAATCCTCATGAAGTAGGTTTATCCGGTAAAAAGTTCTAATGCCGTTTAAGATAGTTAAACGGCATTTACATTACAACTTTTTGCGGTGTTAATCTCGTCTATGAGGATTTATTTTACATATATTTAATGGAATTGAAAATTTAGATTTACTGGATATAATAAATCCGGTACAATGTAAACGTAATATTAAGAGATCTATTTTCGTCAATGCTAGACTTTTAACTGAAAATAAATAAATTAATTTTACAACTTAATTTGACATATGTCGAATTCAAGTCCCATACTTTTGAACCCGCGAAAGGGATAACTCTTTGTAAAATCATAAACTTCAATGATTTTGTCCGATTTTCGTAAGAATACGTATGTGGAAGTAACCAACCAAGTGGGTCTATCGCGATTAATGATAAGAAAATAACAATTAGATTTAACACGCTACGTTAGGAGATCTAGTAAAGACATAAGCCTTTCAGACCCAAAGACATTAATAATTTTTCTGGTGTTTTTGTAGAAAAATTAAAACAGGAGTCACATGTTAAGTTCGTTTCCAGTTTATTTTTATTTTATATATTCTAAGGGGATGACCATGGTACAATTATACAAGGTAAATGCAATACTCAGCTGATTTGACTCTATCGTAATCCTCGTGTCAAGTTCGGTATGATATTTTTGATTTATGTAGAACGACCTAGCAGGAAAATTTTGTACACATTATATTTGAAATAAAAAATACGATAATACAATTTGAGCTTGACAATGTATAGAAAGCCAAAAAAATACAACACCATGAATTGGCATGAGAATTTCAATTATATTAATTGAAAAGAGTACTAATCGCACCTTAACAATTTTACATTGTCAAATCAAAGAAATCGCAACAGAAGTTCGTTGCCCTTTGGTTTACAATTTACTTCAATTTCCCAATAGGAACAATTGAAGCAGGAAGTCCTTTTGTAATTAAAAATTCCTAATTTCAACGTTTTTTAACGTTTTTGTATGAAATCCATTTATATATGGTGGTAACATAATTAGAGAAAAGTCCTGCAAGCGATAGAATTATAAATTTGCAAGATATTCATTCATGTTTTTGAATTTAATTCTGAAAATTCAAAAATATTTCATTTTGAAAATAAATTAAATTTATTGATATTTCGTATGTTTTGTTTACATTTGTCGACATATCAAACTGACACTAGTGTTACACACAATCACAATTTTCTATGTGGTTGTTGTTGAATTGTATTTGTTGTAGCTTGGCAGCTACCTTGTATAATTGTACCATGGGGGATGACAAAGCAATATTAAACCAATAACAATTAATGAACAGACCCATGCATCCTTAAAACTTTTCAAATTAAATTGATTAAGCTGGTTTAGAAAGGGATAAACACATATACAAAATATGAACTTTAAATCACGTTTATATACCTGTTGCAAATGTTTTGTCCGATACTGTACATTTATAGGCATAAATTGATTCTTCTGATTCTCTACAATATTGACTTGTTATTTCCGGTTAGATGACAATGAAAATAATTGCAATTCTGAAAAACTACACACCTATTATAGTGCACCTATATTTATTAACCATTCATTCGTTTCTTTGTTTGTTTTATTCTATTTTTATTGTTGTCATTATATATTTGATAACTTTTTTATTCTTAAAGTAAACGCCATTCAACAATTGAGATAGTTATGTTTACACGGCATTTTTAATTCGCCATTGTTTTCATTTCAGTTTGATGAAATTCATTGCACGCTTTTAGATAAACAATCTAACGAGAATAATATATTTTTTTAATTATAAACTGTAAAATTTTTTTATTTCTTGTAGAAGGTATTTGTGAAAGTATACTCGTTTTCTCTAATATAAGGCAATATGAGTAATTTGTTATGGTCAATATTTTTGTTCAATTAGTGGCAATTCTCTAATCTTTTTTAATAGATTCTTTATTTTCGTCTGAAAGTTCAAAGACAGACATTTAAGTGGACCCCCCATTCTCGGGGTCAAAATTTTTGTCGATATCATTCGAATCTACACTAATTACAAAATTTCAAATGAAAATCTCAAGAACTCTTGAAGATGTAGCCGAATTATTGTGTCAGCATCAAGTGACGGCTGAAGGGCTTCTCAAACTTTAAATGCGTTTTTCTCTAAACATTTTTTGCGAATGGCGGGCACGATAACTCAAAAACTAACAACCCAATCGATTTCAAATTTTTACACGTTCCTCTGTGAGTGTATAGCTATCGTATGAACTAGGATAAAGCCAATCTGTAAAGATCTTCTTTATTTTTTAATTTGGGTTTTGGTAAAAAATCGGCGATTTTCCAATTTTTTTTCAAAGGTCCACCATTTTGTTAATTTTAGAGCGAAGTCAATAATCCTAGTTCATACGAGAGCCAGACATGTACTCTTTCTAACAGCGTTGGAATTTTCGGATTCCGATGTTCCAGTGTGGAGTTATCATGCCCGCCATCAAAAATAAGGACTTTTCTTTAATTACAAAAAACAACAACAAAAAAATAACAAAAATTTTTTGTAAATTATTTTTCTTCTATTTTAAATCTTCAATTATATATGTGTAAAGTTACAAACCTTAACAAGCATTGGTATTGATTTACCAGCCCATTGAAAATCTTTAAAAATTAAAATCGAGAATGGGGGGTTCCCTTAAATAAAACAGGCAACACAGTTTTTACTAAAGCAGATTGCTATGTCCGCTATAGCTATAAGGAATTAACTGATCAGCATATTCTTTTGGGGGGATAATTAAAAAAAGAATGGATTTTATATATATATATATATATATCCCACAAAAACGTCAACCACATAGGTGAAAAATCAATTCGTTAAGAGAATTTTTTTTTCTCAAAAAAATTAAATGTCAATATAATCTTGAATAACCCCTCATAGCTGTTAAAAATAATCCTCAATTTTTCGCAGAAATTTCATATCGAAACTGATATCCAATTTTTAAAGGGAAACTTTTGTAGCGCGTGCGTACGCTAAATTTTGCTTAATATATCCGAAATTTACAAAAAAAATGAGTAGGTATTGTGAAAGGCGTAAAACTATTTAATAAAAATTGCAAAAAAATTCGGAAACAAAGTTTTCTTAACTAAACAAACGATTATATTTCGCACTCTGTAACAGTGCGTGACATGGAATTCGTGATATATTATCGCTCATTTACTGCAAGACAGGCATAACTCAAAAAACGTGATTTTCGAGTTAATGATCCAAGGCTATCAAGCCCATTAATGAACAGAATTACAATATACATC